CATCTAGTCCAAACTCCCTGATCAAGCAGGGACACTTAGAGCCGATTGTCCAGGATCGTGTCCAGATGGCTTTTGAATATCTCAAAGGAGGGAGACTCCACAACATCTCTGGACCACTTGTGCCAGTGCTCAGTCACCCTCACAGTAAAAAAGTGTTTCCTGATGTTCAGAGCCTCCTGTGTTTCAGTTTGTGCCCATTGTTACCTGTCCTGTCACTGGGCTCCACTGAATTCCTCATATCAAGACAACAGAAGTGAGATAAATAAGACAGAAGAATATGAGGAAGGGAAAATGATAAGCTGCAACTAAAATATATTTTTTAAAATCTTTTCAGTATCTCCAGATAAAATATCGTAATGAAGAAAAATGCAATATGCTATGTCAAGCATACTTTTCTGTGCTTGATCAATAAGATTAGGAACATCCACACCCTCTACTATCCATTCCTCCCCTCCACCCAAGAGATCTTGTTGAGATTTTTATTGGCATTTTCAAGTACCACAGCTATTACTTACATCCAGTAATTCCACAAATCACAATTGTTAGAGAGTACTAGGTATGTATTTGGTTTTGTTGCAGCAGGAAAGAAGCAGCTAGGCAAGTTTCATGTGTGGTTGATTTGATACAATTTTGCTTGTTACTATGATTCAAAAAAGTATCGGCTGGCTGACCACCTGGTCTGAAAACAGAAAAAAAAAAAGTGTTCCTATTACACTTGAACTGTCTTTTTATCAGCACCAGAGTTTGCTATCCTTTATCACCATCCAAGATACAGAATTAATTATTCTCTGTATCTCTTGTGGGTGTGAAGTCATGCTTCACCTGGATGAGCGTTATAGAATCTGCTACAATAGGTGATTAAAAGAAGAATGATTCCATGTAACTGATACCAATTGTTTTCCTGATTTTTAAACTCAGCCCAGGTTCAAAAACCTATTGAGTCAAATTGTTCTGAATTATATATTGAAATTACTTTGACACAGGTTAAAATCATATTGTTTTGACTGAATTTCCTTTCAGTTTTGGGTTTCACATAACAATGTTGTGATATTTCCTGATTAGAAACAAAGAATGGATGTTTTTCAGGACCTGAAGAAAACCCATATTTCTCCCCCCCAAATGGTGGTTTATGATTGAATATGTCCCAGATTTTAGATTTGAATTTTGGCCAAGTGTTGTGGACCTGAACCATAACCCTACCTCATGCTGTATATAATCCTGCATATGTTGTAGCATAATTGAAATTGTAATTACTTGTTATCATTAGTCCCAGTGTTGTACCAACTATAAACCTCATTAGCCAGAATAACTTGATTCTGTCTTTAGGTAAAAAGAAGTCAAAGCTGCATTTGGTTGCACAAGGGAGCAGATAAATACAAACATAGTCTAAGCATGTTGTAGGATTTTCTTCTGAAAGAAGAGTCCCTGATACTACTGTAGAAAGAAGAAGTTCAATGTACGAGTGAGGGGCTCAGTGCCGACGGCTGGAGCAGGACCATGGGTCACAGCTCGTGTGCCGGGTGCCGGCTGCTGGGGGCGAGTGTCTGTACCTTCCCCAACCTGGGTGTGCGTGGGGTGTGCATGTGGAGTCTTTGGCAAACTCCAAGCTGGACCAGCCAGCGAGTAGGACGTCCCAGGTCCAGGTAGGGGTATCAGGCGGGCAGAGAGTCCATGCTGGTATTCGGGGGGGACCCACGAGAGTGGTGTGCCCGTAGGACCAGTGTGTGAGTCCTGTGTGTTTGCAGCGAGCACCCAGCTGGACCAGCCAGCGAGTCGGGGACCCATGGGGTGGGTAAGGGGGGCCGGGATCTGGGCAGGAGTGCCGGGTGGGCAGAGGGGCCATGCCAGTGCTCAGGGGATCTGTGAACGTGTGTGTGTTTGTGAACCTGGTGAGCATGGTGTGTGTGCTGCACCAGTGACCTTCTGCCTCTGCCAGCCCAAGAGGAGGAGGGGACGTGGCTGTCTGTGCCTGTGTCTGCTGTGAGTCCTGAATGTGTGTGCTGCTGGGGGCAGCGCCTTGTCTGAGGCCGTCTGTGTAGCCACAGCTGTGGCTATGTCAGTGTCTTCTGCGTGTGTGTCCGTGTGTGTGTCTGGGATACGTGCTCAGCCTTGGTACTGCAGCAGCTTTGCTAGTGCAAAAGTGAAAGTGGCAGACACATCCCTCAGCCTGAGCAGAGACCCCGGGTCCCTGGGCTGGGCTCCAGCGGCCGGGAAGGAGTGTCCTGGACCAGGCAGCTGGGGGAGGCAGCCACATATCACATCACTTAACACCCTCATAAGCTCCCAGTAGGTTGAGTGACAGTCTTTCCTTGCAATTAGTATGATATGCCTAAGCTTAAGCATTTGCTTTGAGTCTCTCTTTGTAGAAGGCTTTTTCCCCTCGTTGTTTTGATGGCACAGCTTAGTCTAAAGTTTCTTGATGGACTGCATGCTGTCCGTTCGTCATCTCTGGAACTGGATCACTGTTTATGTGACCTTTAGATTTTTTTATAATCCTTTATGATTTGTGGGGTCCTCAGTGAGAAGCTCAGAAAGCCAAGCTGATATATATATTTTTTTTTTTATCGTTTAAAGTATGGATTTAAAAATTTATAGCATTATCAGCTAAGAAGTTAGCAGAATTAGTGTTAGGCCTGTGCCATTTTAGTGGCTGACTGGTCGCCTGTCAGTATAGAGTCAGAGCAGATTTTGGCTAGTATGAGGATCTTTTGTTACTTAAGATCAGTATTTTTACAACATAACTCATGAAACTGGACATTTTTGTAATTATGTATTTTTCTGCTTATTTGGGTGGTTAATTAATTACAGGGGTTTAATTATTTTGCAGTATCTTAAATTGAAATTTTCATCTCCTCCCTTACTTTAAGAATTTATTTTCTCAGTCATTCATATTTTCTCATAGAGTCTTTTAGTTTTAAAAAGTGATAGTAATCTCCTTTTCCTGTGCCTCTTACTGATTTTACTAGTGACATAAATTCTTACTTTGGAAAAACAGATCTCTAAATTTGGGTGCAGGAAGAGAAGATTTTAAGGTATGTAGTTAGCTATGTAGTTAGTTATATTTCTATTTTGTTCATATTGAAGGGAAAGAGCCTGCTAGCGATTCCAAAGAAATTGTTCAGGGTGGCAATTCCAGAATGAAAAAGTTGTAAGAAAAAGTAACAAAGTGCGAGGTGGAAGTTTGCTTAGTGATAGTATGTAGAGTTAGGTCCTCTGTTGGTGTAAATGAATACAACCCAATGACTCAGAGGATCTATTTGGTTTTGCTACAGCTGGATTCTAATCCTAAAGCTAGAAAAGGAACTTAAAAGCAAAATGCTAATTATAAAATCACAGCCAAGAGCAAATAGTATTACATTTATTTCTATACTGAATTACACAGTAATCCAAAATTGACTTAATCAACTATCTATGTCCACCCAAGGGAGATGAATAAAAAGAAACATGGTAGAGGATATTGATCATCATGTAAAATGGTAGCAATTACCATTAACAAATAGTTTTTAATAAGCAAACATACAGTTAGTACTATTAACTTGAGGTTTTCCTCATTAAAGAAAAAAAAAAGTGTGAAAAAAAGAGAGTCAGGACCTGATGCTTTTTCCATTAACTTCAGGAAGACTTACTTGGATTTGGGATGGATACAGGACATTTGATTTTAACTACTTAAAAATTGGTAACTAGTGGAAGATACCTGTATCTTCCTGATGTTCCTTTCTCTGCTGACTCTGTAGAAATCTTGAATTATTATCTTAGCTATAACCCATAACTTTCAGATGGCTAATATTAATAAGAAACTAATCACTAAACTAAACAGTTATTAAGCTTAAGGCAAACTTTGTGAATCTCTTCTTTATTCTAAACCAATCTAGCTAGCCAGATCTCTCAGGCTCCCTGCTGCTGAAAATAATTTTTGTGGAAAGATGTGCTTAACTTAATTTAACCACTCTTTTGAGATGCTCTTGAACTAGTTGTTTCCGATGCTTCAAAGATGCAGTATTTTGATCCATGAAGACTTGTAATATTCCTTTCATGAATCCCACAGTTGCGGTTGCTAAACAATTTGCAGCAGTGCTATCGGCTCTGGAGCTCATGGGGAATCATTCTGTGTCCACAATTCACAAAGTCGGGTTATTTCTTCAGATGAGAGAAGTTCAGAATCAATAATGGTTAACTAAACCAAGTGTACACTGCAGGGTTTTGTTTTGTTTGGTTTTTGTTTGGTTTGGTTTTTTTTTTTTTTTTTTAGATGACTGTGGGGTTTTTTTTAGAAGTTTAGGAAAATTTGTAATTCTGGCTCTCATTCACTGTGTTGTTTTGAACAAAGTATGTGCTGTTTATTTTTATTTCTCTTACCAGTGTGATAATTGCTTATTCCATCATTGCATTCTGTGATTCTTTGCTGACTACTGTGATTTCACAGATATATTATCAATCCTAAATATCCATATTAGTTAGATAATTGATATCAGTTAAATATCCTTATAGTTATGTATTTATAGATCCTTCTATTCCTGGAAGATGACAACCATTTTTACTGGTTTGTTTAACTTGGTGGACTTTTTTTTCCAGTATGAACAGTAATAATACAGGTTTTAACCACAGAAATACATACTTATGTCATTTGCTTTTCATAACATAGTTTGCAACAGTTTCTGCTTCTCAGAGAGAGGTTTTTATAGATCATGCTTTTAAAATTATATGAAATATACCTAACTGTCTACTAATCACTTTCTTATGAGAAGCTTACTTCGCAGATGAGCATGTGCAGACCTTTGAAATTTGGCTCTCCTGCCTGCCATCTTCCCTGGGTTGCTCTAAAAGTGAGCAAAAACAACAAACCCCCCCCCCCAACAAACAAACATGATAATAACAATTGCCTCATAAGCATTGTCAGGAATCTATTTGTATGTCAAAAGTTAAAAAAAAAAAAAAAAAAAAGAGTCAGGAGAACAGAAAAGAAGAGCACTAATCAGCATGTCCTGTGCTCTTCTTTGTAGTCCCAGCGCCGTGTTACATTTCACCTCCCTGATGGCTCCCAGGAAAGCTGCAGTGACAGTGGTCTGGGAGACCACGAGCCGGTGGGTGGTGGAACCCTGATCTCACACCCTCTCCCTCTGGTTCAGCCACAGGACGAATTCTACGACCAGGCTTCACCGGACAAGAGGACTGAAGCTGATGGCAACTCCGACCCCAACTCGGGTGAGTCACTGTCAGTGCTCTGCTTACCTGAGTTGCTTTGGTAACTCAGTTATTTTTCATCCCTTTCAGCTCTGCAATGGTAGAGATGTTTTTAAGCACATACATGAATATTCGTTCATGATAGCTCATAACGCTTTGTAGGAAATAATGTAGTTTGCCTGAAGTGCCCCATGCAATTTGACTGGAGAAACAAAAATATATCCAGTGAGAAAAAACAGCTCCAGACAAATTGCACAGTAGAGTGAGAACAGCTGGGAAGAAGGAAGTCCTACAAAGTAGCAAGCTTTTCTTGATGTTTGTGGTGCTGTTGCTATTTAGCATTGGACTTTGGTTTAGGAAAGTCATTCTAAACACACATTTAAAGAGCAAGGACATGGAGGTTGTGCTATCTGTTAGACTAACGTAGAAAACAGTAAATCAGCGAAGCACTGAAAAATTTAAAGAATCCAAATTTCTGTAACAAACACACCTACAGCTTCCCTTTCTAACAGCAAGAACCACAGGGTTTCTTTGTTAGGCTGGAATGACGAGATGTTCTGCTTTTTGGAACTGTCAGATATGCATTTTTGTACAAATATTAAGTATGTGCAGTTTGTCTGGTTTGGGAATTTCTTCCTTTCTTCTTCTTTCCTTCTCTATAATAGATATACATTTTTGCAGTGTTTGTGACAGTCAGTACTAAAAAATGAAGCGAGGTCTTAACCAATATTGTGACTAGTATTTTGGCATTGGAATGTGGAGACTTGCACATACTGAAAACTGGGAGGAGGTGGTAACACTGCCCTTAAGCCTCCTGTTTTCTGTCTAGAATGTGGAGACAAAGGTTAAAAGTCTGATCTGTGCTCTTGGAAGGTAATTGAACTTGAGTTCTTTTGCATCCCAGGAGTATAGAAATAAGAATTAGTTTCCCCCCCCGGCATTTCTCCCTTTTGTATAGATGATTAAGTTGTCACTAGGCCCATACAAACCAGGAGAGAAGGTGGCCCTGGGATCTGATGCACAATATTAAGGTACATGTTCCCATTTGGGCAGAGCTGGATCTGAATTATGACATTTAAATCACGGTAGATGAGAATGCGAATGGTGGAATATTGACCTTAGAAACATTTTTCTCATACTTTTATGGGAGGACAGAGAGGGTGTGTTGGGTGAGACTCTACAAAGAAACAATTTGAAATGCTTTACTGTCTCAGAGTCGTGTTCTGGTTTCCTTTTCCTTTTTCCCCTTCTTCTTTCCTTTTTTTTTTTTTTTGAAATGAGACCTGCATTTTATTTTCTTTACCAAAACAGAAATGTTGTTGGAACTATGATCTTAAACCCTAAATCTGTCAAAATACAAAGAACTATAAAAGAATTGCAACTATGAATGGATTGACTCTGGAGCAAGAATGTATGTCTGCTTAAGCAAGCGAGGAGCTTAAGTGGAATTATCCTGTTAATTCTCTGACCACGTATGAGACGTGTGAAAGATTTAACAAGATCAGAGAGGAGTTTTAAGGCAGCATTGCATGTTGACACCGTCACATTGGCTTCACTGACTCTGAATTGCACATCTCTTCAAAATGTGACATAAAAATTCTCCAGGAGAGTTAGGAAAAATGTGCTTAGTAAACTTTATACCAAGTTATTAAAAATGTGTTTTTAGAAATTTTGTGTCAAGCACATTGTGCAAACGTAGTATATTAATCATGATGATCTATTCATCCCTAATAAAGAGACTAATAGAAGATTAGTCAGAGTGAATACGTGTTCTTAAAAGCTATATGAAAAGTTTTAATATGTCTGTGGTTACACCCGTTTAGCCTTGGGGATGCTAAATTCATGGCAAATTTATGAAAATCTAACCATCCAGCTGTACCGATGATTACTGAAGTATTGAAGTATAGGTTTTTCACCTTTTATCTGACTGAATTAGGACAGACATTGAAATAGTGCATTCTAGACCTCATCAAATCTCACAAACTAAGAAGGGAATGATATGGTCATTACTGTGACAGAAATCATCTTAGGAAAACCCAAGGCAGGAAGGGAGTGATGCTGCCCGTTAGATGGATTTGACTTTTATATCTTATTCAGTATCAAGTTATTGCCCAGGTATTGTGTCAAAAGTTATTTTGCTACTGGAGGCACAAGTTTTTGGATGAGATGTGAAACGGAGTTTAAAGCAGTTTATGGTTATTGAAGATCTTGTGGCAATTTTCAGAAGAGAAAAATGTTATCTGGTGATTGGGCAAAATTAGTTTGTGGGTATTTACATACATTCATGGTTAAAATAACTGATGTAGTATCATTTCAACATTGTATTCTTTGACACTTCTAAACTGAATTTCTGGTTCTCTTGCAGTGAATTGTTAAACAGTTGTATTTAACAGTAGAGATGATAGTTTCATTTCCGTGGCTGTTTAAGGGATTGCTGTCTATGAAAATACTTGGGGCATGCTGAGGTAAAAGATACATCTGTAAAGTAAGGAAAAAGTCTTAGTGGAGAGTAGTAGTACTACCATGTACATGTACTGCTGCCAGTTTTGGCTGATAAATGTTGCAGAACAATATTTTGGTTTGATTTTAAATATTTTAACTGAAGAGAAAGAGAAATGCTTATGGGAATATTTTCTAATGATCTCCAAGAATAAAATCTGCACAAAAAATACAGATTTATCCCACTGTATTTTTATGAAAGTTCATTCTAAGTAAAGGTTTGCTTCAGCTCATGGGTATATGATGTTAATCCTGATAGTAAAGTCCTTGCCTCATGGTGAGAGCAATTTTGGTTAATGGCTTTAATGCTCAGTGAATTGTGTGGTTTATTATTGTACACTGTGAAGTTGTGTGAATAAAAATGCAGTCATTGTTTCTCAATATTAGTATGTTGCTATTTTAATTATATTTGAAGACTGACCAAGGCCCAGGTCTTCAAAACCTGAAATAGGAAAAAAAAAGAGCTAAAAGTCTTGATAACTTATTACACAAAGGTATGAAATAACTTACTGCCATATTTTCTTGCAATCATTAGCTTCTACAGAGACACAAGAGCTACAATTACATGATTTAATGAAAGAAACATACATAGTGAGAGACATTCATCTAGCTAATCTTAAAACAGCAATCTCTCTCACCGGGGGAAACTGAAATGAAGAGAGACGCCAAACACTAGCACTGTCAGCCACACGCTCTCACTGTGGTTATGAGGAAAAGTCAAAAAGATAAAACTATGAAGTAAAAAATAAAATTTATAAGAACTTTAATAGTGATGTGTATAGTTCAAGTTTGGTTTGTATCACTCAAACCTGTCTTCTTTGTAGAGTCTTTTAATTTCACTGGAGGGTTTCATTCAGTTTGCTAAGATATCTTTTCCATTTCACCACTGTTAATTGATCAGTATTAATTGATTGTCAGAGGACTATGATGTTAACCTGCCAGTTGCAACTTTCTTATATTTCACCTTTGTCTCATTTGCACCTGATAGGCTTTATAAGAATTCTTCCATCAGTGAGCAACAATTCACCATGTTTAAAAAGAACATAGCGCTACAGAGTAACACCAGCACTGTGGTTTTGTTATGGATTATTAAGTGATAATAACAACAAGTAATTCAAATTTACTACCAGAAGCCTTGATATTCAAGAGTCATGGTTATGATGATTTAATTTTGCGCACAATATTGATTTGTAAGGCAAGCCTTGTGTATGTTACAACATTTTATTGCATTTAAGTGCAGTAATTAACAACCTTAGCCTTGCCTTGCTGACCATGACTTTGCCAGAAGCATGGGCCAAGAGAAAGGGAAAGCAGCATGACATTATCTGGCTACATAGTTTGTCATCATGATGACAAACAAAAGGGAAAGATTGTAAATATTATCGTGTTGAGAGTCTGTAAAAAAAGCCAACAAAACAAAACAAGGCACATACCAAAAAGGTGATTTTCTAATTTCTTGGAAACTAATGGTTTTGCATAATCTGAACTGTGCTTTGGTGTGTGGAAAGCTGACCTCACGTGTTCTCCAAATGAACACTGTCATTTGCGTTTGAAGGGTGTGTATATTACACTTCCTATAAAAACTAGAGGAAGATATTCCAAAGATCAATCAGCTGATTAAAGTTCTTTACCTTTTAGTATGTCAGATAAGGATTTAGAAAACATAAAGTTTCTTTAGGATCTAAAAAAAAAGGTCACTGTAAAATTGTATTTACTGGTATGACTTTATAGCCTCTCTTATTACCAAAAATCCTGCTTTTTAATGGCTTTAAGTGTGCGTATCAGGAAGTACACTTTTAACACAAACATCTTCTTTATCATCAGTTACATTAAAAGTGTACAGCTGTCTGATGTATTTTAATGTGAATTATTTCTTCAGTAATCACTCAAAAGAAAACTGTGTTTTTATTTGCCAGCAGTCAGGTGCAGAATGTTATTTTTCATTGCTATAAGCGTGGTTTTCATTGGCATAAAAAAACCCCAACACTTTATTAGCGAATAATTCTTCTTTCACTGTGGTTTAGTAAAAGTTGTCAGGGACTTAAATTTAGATTGGAATTGTTAACGTTTCTAAGGGTTTCATGCAGCAGAGCTGTGCGATAGAGCTGTGTGAAGGAAAAATGTGCCTCCTAGTGTAAAGAAGGGGAAATATGCACTTTCATGAAAATGCTTGATAAATCACATTTTGATAGCTGCAAGCTGTGGATGTGATTCATTTTTCTTCAAAGAGATAAAGAGGAATAGCATATATTTAGTGGAGTGTTAGAACTGCTCTGGGGAGAAAACCTACTATACACTGTGGATGAATCTATGCAATAATTCCAATGGTTTAAAACCAGACAGAAATATAATATTTATGTCTTCTGAAATATGTTTATGAAGCTAAGTAAATGCTTGCCTAGTTTCTACACCTCATTAATAAGTAGTATCAATGTATGTTACATGACACAAAGTAACAGCTTTATAAAAACAGGGAGCTGTAGAAAAAATTGTAACAAAAACACTGTTTTGAAGGTCATCCT